GGGATGTCCTACTATGCCCCTAGCCACAGGATTTCTTAAGTTTTTACTGGTATGACAGGTCCTTAAATCTTTGAAGGGTTTATCTCCCACCCTCTGGAGAATGTATGACTTACCAACACCTCTAACGAGGTTGCCACTTTTTGCTCATCTGGCCTATTTAGCATGATGTAATCAATATAATGGCTGAAAGTGATGTTCTGTAGAACATCCAAATGGTCCAGATCTCTTTGTATTAACCAGTATTCAAACAGGAGACAGAATCCACAAAATAATTTGAACAGGCAAAGTTTAATATAAAGAATCATTCATTATAACAGAGGAGAAATTATATTATAAAGGTGTAAACAGAACCATAAAAAATACTCTAAGGCTGAGACAGAGAGCACCCAAGGAAGAGATGAACTAGGGAAGAGGGTCCCCTCCCAGAGGACGCAGTTCAGACTTCACTGGAGAAGATCTACTTGTAGCCCACTGGATGGTAGAGATGTCTTCTGGGAGTCCCAGGCCAGAGCTCAACCATCGAGGCAAATAAGCAGGAGAGCTCTCTCTAGGGTAGAGACAAGCTGAGGCTGGCGGGAAGTATGCAGAGATAGTTGGAGCATCAGGAGCCTGCTTGCCATTAGGGTCAGGTAGGGCCTGGGATGTGCAGTGTCTGTGTCAGGAGGGCCACAGGAAACAGCCCTCCAGGATGCAGGTGGGTCAGTACTCATGGGTATGCGCACAGTGGGACTCAGGGTACCAGGAGCTTGATTTTCAGCAGAGAATCCTGGGTGCAAGGTGTCCACATCAGGAGAGCCACAGTGAGGCGAGTGCTGGACCAGATCCAAGGCTGCAACTCACCAAGGATGCCAACTCTCAGTATGCAGAGGGTCAAGAGTGCCACCGGACGTCACCTCACACACGCCTCTGACAGTCATACAGTAGAAGCAAAAAGAAACGAAATTCAAGCACTTTGGAACCCATAAAGAAAGCCTCTTCCTTCTGCATTGTTGACTGACAAAACTTAACATGCTCACCACAAAAGAGAAATCCTCCCCTTTCCTCACCTCAGTTTTATTGAGATGTAACTGGCACACAACTTGGTACAAGTTTAAGGTGAACAACATAATGATTTCACTTACATCCCTCATGAAATGATGGTTATAACAGGTTTAGTGAATGTCCATCATCTCATACAGACACAACATTAAAGAAATAGGAAAAAAATTATTTTCCTTGTGATGGGAACTCTTAGGATTTAACTCTCTTAACAACTTTCACTTATAACATACAGCAGTGTTAATTATCTACAAAGGAGGAATCCTTAAAGGGTCTAGCTCCATTATCACAGAGCAGGTAACAGAGGATGGTTTTGGAGATAAGCAATAAATTAGAAAACTGTCCCAGACTGTACTGTGACAGAGTGGAAAAGTTAACACAGCCCAGAAGGAGACTGTTCACGTGGACTGTTGTCCATTCCACGTGAATGTGGACTATTTCGCATCCTCCTTTCTGATAGGAAGAGAAAAAAGTGAAGCCACCAAATCGTGGCCACACGGCATGTATCTGAGACTGTTCATCTGTTCTAGCCATGATATTGCAGCTGGCATGGCGAGTGCAATGGGGCTACTGCTCCACCGAGTCCCCAGTAGTTTAGTGTCATTCCATGGTACCTCTCTTGTTTCTTTGTGAACCAGACTAGTAAATTAAAGGGAGAAATGAAGGAAACCACTATCCCTGAATCTTTTAGATCCCTAAAGCTGTCATTAATCAATTCTCCCACCCCAGAATGTAATATTATTTCTAATTTGTTATGTTGACTTGGGAAAGGGGGATGATTTGGAGGTTTATTGACTATACAAGTCAACCCAGTGTGAGAGGCTGCTCTAACTATCATAAATGTCTACCTGAATTTTTCATGTGGGATCTGTAAATGATGACTGGGTGGGGGTCTATGGACACAACAGACTCATTTTCAGCCAGCCCTTGCAATCACACCATTTGTTACCTGGCTCCCCGACTCTTATGAGGGCCATGATGATAATCCAGGTCTCTGAGTAGCAATGTGAATTCAGACCCTGTGTCCAGCCTCAACAAAGCAAACAACAAGGCTCTAAGGAGCAGAAGAGCCACAAGATGGAAGGAGCTTGGGTTCCACTAACCTGCAACACTGCCCCCTAGACTGTTAGGGGAGTTGTGTTTAAGCCATTACATTTTGGGATCTATTTGTTACAAAAGTTTAGCTTGATTAAAACAGTATGCAAATAGATTTGATAGCAGAGTTCCCAAACTCTCTAGGTATCTGGATCTTAGTTCCAATCCCACCTGGGACATGGCTACATAAGGAAATCGAAGTCCAGAGAAGTTAGTGAATTAGTCTAAGGTTACACAAGATGGCTAAGATAGGACCCAACCCTTCTGAAACCTAATCCAGTTCTCTTTCCCTGGAGAACTTTCTACCTTCTAAGGTTCTGTATGGTGGGTATGATGTGCTGTATGTTGCCATGAGATTTCTATTTCAGCAAAAGGGAGGGACAGGGAGGAAGGGAGGGGATGCATTTTCTTGGCCTGAATTAGTTTAATCACCATAGGTAGCTAATGGCTCACTATCTGGAATGAACACTCTACTCCACATTATATGCAGTTAGATGACAGATCTGCTTAATATATGTATCAAAGATATATATATAT